CAGGGAAAGACAGAAGGGTACTTCTGTGTACTGTGAGAAAGGCGAGACCTATACCTCCATCTAGTGGCCTGAAGGGTAACTTCAAGTGCGGTCGGGCACATTGGATCATCGCGTCGGTCCAATATTGGATGAATAANACCTATACCTCCATCTAGTGGCCTGAAGGGTAACTTCAAGTGCGGTCGGGCACATTGGATCATCGCGTCGGTCCAATATTGGATGAATAATCATATAGCAATATCGGAATTTCATTGTTTCCCCAACATTCAGGCAATATTGGCAATATTGCCCAAGACGTAGCCAATGTACCCAATGTCGGTCCAGCATTGAGCCAATATCTGGTGCTACTGGGGTCCCCCCTGTGTTAATTGGGGTGAATTATACAGGTTTGATTCTCACAAATTTATTCATTTTGCCACAAATACAGGGTGGGTTATCAGTTTTTCATCTAGCAACCCACCACCTCATTCAGATTTCCTGAGCACGCTGCTGACTAGAGCACAACTCAAATGGCTGTGAGGGCCTTTTCAGATTTTTATTTACCTACTGCGGGCCGCAGCCGGCTGAAGGCCGAAGCACGCCTTAAGGAAGTGTTGTTGATAATAAGCCACCAGATGTCTCTGTAGTATTTAACCCCCCCCCCCTCCCCCTCCTACCCCTCGGAATGCCTCCTCTAATTACACTCTATGTTGATGCCACAGAAATAGCGGCTACATCGGCGCTATCTCACATCATTTGATTTGAGCTTTTTGATTCCAATAGCTGAGATAAATGTCTCATGGAAAGATAAGAAAAATGTGTACTGCCGTTCTAGCACCGACGTATGGCCTACATGGGCAGCCCACTGCAATGTAGGCCCACGCTCCCCACTCGCAACCAACGTGAACTCAACGTCGTGTGCGGCCTGGGAACATCCCTAAATTAAGGTACACATAAAAGATAAAAATTGACCCCCCTGAATCAAAATTCTGCTATATAATTATTGTTTAGGATCTCTAAGGGGGGCTCAACAGCCACATTTCGAGACTCAAAGGTCACCGATGTGGACAGGAAGTAGGGTCAAAGGTCACGAAATCGACGGGTCTCTTCAGAGTCTTTAATCTCTGGCATCGTTCCACGCGGAACTTTGAAATCAGCCCCATTCTCTTCCTTCCATTCCATTTTAAACAAACATGTAAAATTCTCGTTGTTACTACCTCGGGTTCGGGATGGGGGACGGATTTTGCGAAAATCTCGTCTCGACGTGCTTCACGTTTACTCCTCCCAAATCCGTTGTAAGCGACGCATCGAGAAATCGAGAAAAAATGGAGATTTTCGAGAGGGTTTTCAAATGGCATGCAAAAACTCCATTTGATTTTGCATCATGTCCAGTTAAATCTTCATGCAAAGTGGCATTCAAATCAAATGCAGTTTTTGCATGCCATTTGAAAACCCTCTCGAAAATCTCCCTATTTTTTAGCAATTGATATTTCGAATTTCGGACCCGGATTACTCGAGAACGAAAAAGACATGTTGTGATTTTTGTGCACCGACGATTGTTATGAAGGGCTCTGCCAATTTATATGCCAGCATAGAAAATTCATAATTCTCTTATTTATAGTGATTTGATTGATGTCAAGTCGGAGAATCCTGCTGGAATCGGTCACGTTTTTCCCCTGCATGCCTCCTCCCTCGCATAATTGTTTCGGCGCATCATGTATCAGAATGACCCACAATTCAGATGGTACTTGAATTATCTTTCTATGTCAATAGATTATCGAACAGTGGGACGTTATCCTCGTTCCGGTACTTGTAAATTCTAGCAGATAACGCACTCTCATTTCCTCCCTCCCACACATCTCGCAATCTTTCACCTGCCTATACTTCTCTTCCCTTTGTTCCCCTGCCCAGGGATGTGAGGCGCAAGCAATCCTACGCTCTACTGCTCGCTTTTGATTTTCTCATTTCTGTTCGTTTTCCTTGCTCTCCTCTATCTTCTCTAACCTCACCGCCATCAGAGGCCTGTACCGATGAATTTTTCCGAACCCGACCCAGTCCGTTCGAGTGGAATCACACGCCACACCCTACCCAGAATTTGATCGTCGGCAGAACTCTATGGGACCAGAGACACGCCTAGTGTTGGACTGATCGGGCCGGCCCGAGGGCGGCTTAAGTCTCCAAACTTCATAACTGTAGGTCTCTGGTTTCCTTCTCTGCGTCGAACCACTGGGACACGCAATCCGAGGCTCCAAAAATGTAAGAGGGATTAAAGTGGCCCAAAGTGAGTGGCGCATACTTCAGGATGCTGATGATACAGTCCTTCTACTTGATGATGCAGACGCCACGCTCAAAGCTGCACTGGGAATAGTCGAAAACTTTTGTACCATGAGTGGCTTGAGACTTAATTTCCAAAAGTCGGAGGCCTTAAAAATTGGAACTAGCTGTAATCAAGTAGCCTCAACACCGTTTCATGATATAAAATGGACTTCCGGACCAGTACGCTATCTAGGCGTCCTGATCACAAGCAACCCTAGGGGAACAGTTGATCTAAATTATGATGGTAAAATGTTAGATATCGGCTTGTCGGATGGTCGCTTGAGGGTTCCTTCTCTCGAGGACCGTTGGACCTTTCTTTCATCCTCGGAAACGGTGTCGAGTGACGTCTTATGGTTCCTAGTATGCGAATAAATTTTCGGAATTTTCGGATCCGGAATTTTTCTCTTTCGTCCTCAAAATGTTTCGAAATTTGTCAGAAATTCTCTAAATTTTCAGGCAAAAAAAAATTACAGTAATAAAAAAAAAATTTCCCCTTAATTTTAAAAAATTTTCTGAAAATATTCGGTCTGAGAATTGATTTCAGGGAGAAAGTTGGGTTCTTCTCCATTCACGTTCTCTTTCGCGTGAAAATTTGGGCGTCGATTTTCTCGTGAGGGACATCTAGCGGCGACTGAGCGAATCTCTGGAACGGAGCCCGTTTCCTTATCTAATGGATTTTTTTTCATCGCTTCGGGCAGTGGGGGGGGGGGGAGGGGGCAAGGGCGGGATTTAGTCACAATTTTGCGTCCTGTGAGACATATGGCGCAATGCAAATCATGCAGCAAATATTTTATGGCTTAGCGTGAGAAGTAAGGTTAAAGAATGCAACGATTGCAGATACGCCAGGGCACCGGTTTTTTTTTTTTGGATGGGAATGCTTCACCTAGTGAAGTGACGCAACGCAAGGAGAATGGACTCCTGGAATGTGCCTCGCGCGCCTGCGCGCCTTATGGACTTGAGGCTTGGGAATGATTTTCGTATATGCTACACGGAGGGCTGTCAAGGCATGCAGTCAGCAGTGCTCTAAACTACATTAAAAGATCTAAATTTAAAAAAATGATTTCATTACATTGGAATGTGATCCTGTGCTACCGAGATGACTGAGGGGGGGAGGGGAGGGGAGGGGGGGGGCACGAGCCGCCCCTGGCTTCGGGTATGCAGGGTAAACCTAGGAAAAAGATCGCCACAGGATCGCCATAGATCGCCACAGGATCGCCACAGAGAGTGTCACTAAAGGCTTCCACTCCGCTCGAGTCCCATTCATCGACGGCGTCACAATATGGTTGTCGCTGTCGATCCTCCGCCTGGCGGGCGCTCGTCGAGCAGCGGACTCGACGAGACGCGCGCGTTGCGTGGAGGGATTCCATCCGGTCGAATCCCAGAACGAGTCGTTTCCCGAATCCGCTGCCGCGAGGCGCGCCCACTGAGCTAAGAAATAGAACTGGAGATGGCTTACAATGGTTTTGGGGCAATTGGAAGCCATCCTAGTTGGGTCTGTGGTGGCTCTTCTCCAATGGGATTTTTAAAATTTCCCATCTCAGTTCATATTTGTTTCGCGATCATGACGGCAGGCAGTCATGGTACTTGGAGGCCTAATGATTCTGGGGGAGTATCATCGGGCTGATAACGTCATGTCGGAACTCTTCTTTCATGTGGGCGAGTGGNCCAATGGGATTTTTTAAATTTCCCATCTCAGTTCATATTTGTTTCGCGATCATGACGGCAGGCAGTCATGGTACTTGGAGGCCTAATGATTCTGGGGGAGTATCATCGGGCTGATAACGTCATGTCGGAACTCTTCTTTCATGTGGGCGAGTGGGCATTTCTCGAGTGGGCCTCCAAGTTCCAGGCCTGCCTTTGCTGAGATTGCCGGGCCTACAAATGCGATAACGTTACGCCGCCCTCGCATCATCACAGTCGACATATTTCACAGCAAGTCTAAGGCATAAACTCAAACGAACTTCGAGTGAACGTTCAAAAGTAAACATAGGCTAACGGAAACGAAGGTCGACCACGAGGTGCACGGTAGAGGTGTTGGCGGGTATTGGCAGGGCATGCTGGAGTATTCAGAAAGGCTGTTCCAGTGTTCCCGCGGGACCTGCTCCATTACTCGGCCGATGCTCACCGCAGGCCCGCTTTAGCCTCGACCCAACCAATATGGCTTCGAAATGCACCCGTTTTCCCTGTGCTACTCCTATGGGCGCGACATCTCCAGTTTATTTCTTAGCTCAGTGGGCACGCCGCATGGAAGTGTTGTTAACAGGCCACCAGATGTCTCTGTGATATTTGTCTACTCTCTACTCCATGGCATCGCTCGAAGAACCGCGCCGTTTGATCGCGCTTCGATCGAAGAAACTCGAGGAATCGGAAGGAANGGGGGGGGGGGGGGGGGGGGGGGGGGGGGGGGGGGGGGGGGGGGGGGGGGGGGGGGGGGGGGGGCGGCGACGGGCCTAGAGGAATCTCAGGAGGGAGAAATCGTATGGGGAGCATTTGATTTTTTTTTTCGTTCGAAATAGAAAGAAATTCGTGAAATTGGAAGACAGGAAATGAAATGTAGTGCGGGGCAAGAAAGGACATGACACTCACCCGGGAGTGCATTTCAAGCTCTTCTTTTGGAGCTACTAAAGGTTTCCGACTCAAGAGCCACTTGAGCATTTCCCTTATGTGAATCATGCTTGATAATTCACTCGCGGGGACGAAAACGTCAAAAAAGGTGCTTATCTCAAGCTATGGTGCCTCGACGATATATTTATCCGTCTAGTAGTCTCTCTCAAACGTGTTCATCTCTGTCGCGCAGAAGAAGATGGCGAGTGTCAATGTGATAGTGGCCAACCATGAGGCAGTTCAAGTCAACTACTGTTGTGGGATCAGCACCGTCACTGTCAAAGTCAGTTCTTGCAATCTCAGTTCTGTCAGCCCGTTGCTCTCGATCGAGATGATATGTTGAGGCGAACAATATTGCATGTTAGACGGCGAAGATGATGATGATCGCGGGCGGGGTCGTCATCGGACTCGGGATCATCTTGATCGCGTTGGGGATTACTGCCATCGTCACCTTCGAACAAAATTGCGAGGATTTATGCTCAGTGTATGTAGAAGGGACGTGTGAATGCTCATTGAACTACGGCCGCATTGTTTCACTTTTCATTTCTGCCCGTGAGTGAAACAATAGTGTTGTCTCCTTCATTGTGATAGTTTTTTTTCGGAATGGGCCTTCTTTGCGCAAAAATGAATACCTCCTGATGCCCGAGTTTGTTATGGCGTGACGGACGTGACACTTAATGAAGTAAATAAATTTTTATTTGAATGATAGAGTCCTTCAGGATTCAGGTATCTTGCCCTTACAAAACGTCCACCCCTCATCCACCAGGTCAAACAACCAGGTGGATGAATGGTGGATTTGGAACAAGATGGACGTCCCCCCCCCCCGGTGGAAATCCACCTTTCCATTAGCGCACTTGTATTTCAAGCCAGGTAGATTTTCCCCCAGGTGGACATCGCTCCAACAGATGGAAATAACGCCATGAGGAACCCGCCTGGTTCAAAATCAACATGGGAGGTGGACGTTTTGTGAGGGTGAGTTTAGGGTAAACACCCCAGTTTTTGGCCACGCTGATACGACTCCCGTAGGAACTGGACACCCTGTGCGCACACCTGGAAACGCTATTAATAGGTCCTCGTAAGGGAAGATGTTGGTAGAATACTTAAAGACAGCCAGATTACCTAATTATGCTGAATTTAAGCCTCACTGACAAACAACTGGAGACTGGCCAGAAACCGGGTGCTTACCCTATATCACTCATAAATTATATTTACTTGCACGTCTGGACAACATGACTCTCAACTATTCCATGCTGATTTTTACAATGCCTGTACCGGGTTTACATTCTTCTAGTCCTATGCTTCATCGGCGGGGCAGTGGCCATTCAGCGATGCCACGCAGGCTTGAAAGCGCTGAGGATAAGAAGGATGAATGCACCGAATCAGCCAGTATATCCCGGCGCCATCGAATTCCAGCAAACTGCATATGCACACCCTGGTAACCCTTAGCCGTGGTGTCATCCATAGGATCCAGTTCGACCGACGGATCAAGGACAGAAAAAGTGTCATTGGATCAATTATGTATCCATGTTGAAAGATTGTTCTTTATTGAATAAATTTCTTATTCAAGTATGAATCGGTAGAGAGAATATATTTAGAAGGAGCCTACCCCAGGAGCACCCTATATTGAATCAATATCTGCTGGTAAGGAATATTCAACTTTGCCCCGCATTAGCTCCCAACATCACCATTATTGGGATTACAACCGTGGGAGATATTGAAGCTGGTATTTGCTCTAAATTCATGACTCCGTAAATATATTTTCCTGGTGGAGAAACTTCTAACTTAAATACCAGTACTACCTGCATTAGTATAACCCCCTGTTCATGCATAATTCTGTCCCACGGATGGGCTGGAGACACAGGACAATATATAGGTTCTTCATCCCCTGAATGTACTGTTTATTGTACATTTAAGAGGACAACCCTCCCCTTATTTTTCGATGGAGTGGCCGCGACATCATCCCCTAATTTTATCCTTCTTCCCTCAAGATAAGGAAATAGTGAATGGAATCCACGGACCCAATCACTGTTCTTATGCTTCTTTCAGTAGAAGAAAGAATGCTTTAAGGTTCTCATTGGGAGTACTCCCAGTCGCACCTCAATATTGAATCAATATCGGCTGTCAAGGAATATGCATCTTGGCTTAACATTGGCACCCATCTTGGACCACTATTCGGATTACTATCGGGCCCTTTGTTGGGGCAATATTGGTGCTATTATTTTCTCTAAATTCTTCATCTTGTCAAGGTATTCCCACTGTGAAGGCATTTCTTTAGCAGTACTAGTACGGCATGTACCAGTACAACTATAGAGTAGAGATTGTAGCTAGAGGCGGCACTCCAAGAGGTAGGGGAGGATCGAAATATTACAGAGGCATCTGATGGCTTGTTATCAACAACACTTCCATAAGGCGTGCTTCGTGGCAGCGGAATCGGGAATCGACTCTTTCGGGGATTCGACCCAAAGGGATCCCTCAACGTAACACAGGTGTCTCGTTGAGTCTGCTGCTCGGCCGTGGAGGAGTTGTTGATGTGCGCCCGCCAGGTGGAGGATCTACAGCGACATCTTTATTGCGACCCTGTCAATGAATGAGTTTCGAGCGGAGTGGAGCCTCCTCTCTACTCTATGGTACAACCCCTGCCCATGCACATGTCTGTCCAATGGATAAGCAGGAGACAGAAAAGTAGGGAGGTAGTTATTTCTCTGAATGCACTAATTATACTGTATTTCACTTCAGGGAAGGTCCACTCGTAACTGCTCAATAGCGTACGTATCTGCGAACTCAGTCGAAGGTTTCCTCATTATGTCCTCAGATTGACGAAATAGAAGATTGAGCTGGCAGACTACCTTGTTATTATTCCCTTCGGTTTGGAACATGGTGATTTTGTGAAAGGGTCTGATAGGAATATGAGCTTGTTCATGGTCTGGGCTTCATGATTCTGTCTCGAAAATGGGGATAACAAATGAAGACGTGTCCGAGATTATTGATTGCTATAATGAGACTAGTCGAGAAATATGGCGAGGTACTAAACACTCCTTTGAGGGACAATTACAGGGATAGAGGGAAGGGCACTTCTGTGTACTGTGAGAAAAGCGAGACCTATACCTCCATCTAGTGGCCAGAAGGGTAACTTCAAGTGCGGTCGGGCACATCGGATCATCGCGTCGGTCCAATGTCGGATCGATGATGGAATGACAATATAGCTCAAGATGTAGCCAACGTACCCAATGTCGGTCCAGCATTGAGCCAATATCTGGTGCTACTGGGGTCCTTGCAACATGTTTACGTAAACAAGATATCAATTTTTTTGCACTGTAAATTTCTTGCAATTGCCATGAAAATGATATCAAGTTTACGTAAAATTTACGTTCCTATATTGTGTCACCAATGTGTACGTGTGTTTTGCATAAACTAGGTGTCACTCCATTTGACGTGAAGTACATGATATCAAGTTTATGCAAAATTAACTCCACACCATCCATATGAAACTTTATCTGACCATCCTGCGGTTGCGGTACCAAAATTCCTCATTAGGTGGAACCCTTGCTCCCAGCACCCTAAAAATGCTATTAAGTACTGGCTTTCCTGATATAGAATTAAGTTTTCTTAATATCCTTCCACTTTTTATTATGCAATTCATAAATTCATATATGAAAAAGCATGAAATTATTATGTATTTTTAATAATATATGACTTAGGGAATCACTAAATGCTAAAGCTAAGCTTGTTATTACAGGAGTGCATGGGAATAGGGAAGAGCAGATTCCCAGCTCCACATCTAATATACAGGGTGGCCCAAAAAAACGCACCAATTTTGATCGGAAATAACTTTTGAAAAATGAACCTTTCTTCGTGTTATTAAATCCTCTGTTATTAAATCCTGTTATTAAATGCTATTAATACTCTTTCAATTGCCGTATCATTTATCAAATTTTCTTCAACGGAACCGGAGCAATTGCAATTTAAGTACAAGCACCCAAAAAAGTGGATGAACAAGGCTGACTTCTTGTTAAAACCCTCTCTGTATGCAGCATCCTTTGGCATCCTACGGCGATTTTCCGTTGCATGCTTACAACTGCCGTGTCTTTCAAATTTCATCCTATAAAAGTGCATTTTTTTAAATGCACTTTTATAGGATGAAATTTGATTCATTCCAGTCATTCCATGATGTTCATTCCAGTCATTTTCATGGTTGCTATTCAAACGGGAGACGTGGGTGAGACGTGGGTTAGGGAGAGACGTGGATAGCTGAAACTTGGCATGGACATGCCTACTGAGACACGAAGTTCAGGAAAATGTCAAATTTCAGATGCATGCCCTGGGGGCACACTTTTGGGGGATGACTTTTTGAATAATTTTTTTGTCTACTGAATTGTACAGAGATAGAAATATGAAAATTTGGCACAGCAATAACTGGGGTGATGGTGAGTTCAGAAAAGAATTCCAGTTTTGTGGTGCATACCCCTAGGGCACAGCTTCTGGCTTTGTTGGCTTTTCCAAAGATATTTTTACACCAGCAAAAAGAGCAAACGGATAAGGATGAAACTTGGATGCATGTTGTTCTCCAAGTACTTTTTTCAGTAAAAATGTTCATTTTTGAGTTAAACCACTGAGGGAATATTTTTTTTTGCGAAAGATTCATTTTCCGGAAACTTTTCCGATTCAACGAAGGAGAGAAATAAATAAATTTGAAACTTGGAGCAGAAGTACCTGTTCGATTTCTAAGTGCAGATCTTATTTTTCAAATAAGACCCTTCAGGACAGATTATGAAGAGATTTAAAGTCGGGCACACAAGAAATAATTGGTATAATTATTTCGATGGAAATATTGATTCGTTCTCTCTTGGCGCCCATTTCGACAGGTACATACTTTTTATCCTTTTTTGCCACTCTGAAAAAAAATTAATGCATGAATCACTAACCTGGACAATGGAGCGCCGAAGGCCATAGCGAGTTTGTCCATAGCTAGTATTCTAAGTCTTCTCTTTCCTTAATGCAAGAGAGCCCCTCCAAACAATAATTCCTCTTTCCGAGGTTCCGGTATGGGAGGAGGATAGCAGTGAGTTATCTGGGTACTCTTGAGTGCTGGTGTAGATGAGTATTTGTGTACTCGTGTACTCGTCTAAATACACTAGACTTCCAAAGTATTTAAAGGAATAGGAGAAATACAGTGTATCAATTCCCTTCAAAGGACTAACTGACTCGTTACATTCGCATGATTTTTTTTTTTGGGGGGGGGGGGGGAATTAGCATTAATTTTACGTAAAATTAACGTAAACATGCTGCTTGGGGGGTAGGCTTGTCCCGCTTTCCCACGTTGGGCCAACGGGCTCACGTGCGGCATGAGATTTAGGAGATTAAAAAAGATTTCTAGTTAGATCTATATGTGTACGTCATCTTTCTTCCATACCAGGGGTCAAGTCAAATACCGAGTCACTCTTTAATACCGTTGAACTAGCGGCTACATCAGCGTCATCTCGCATAATTTGTGGGAAGCTTCTTGTTCAAATATATGAGTTAGATGTCCCATGCAGAAATATGACCAATGCCCTAGATAGGGAACCAAATTCCGCTCGTGAGCCAAATTTGACTCACAAGCTGAAAAGTTTGGCTCATTAAGCCATGGCTAAAAATCATGGTTGTTTCTCATTCTTCTAACGTGTCTAAGAATGCACATATCTGTTGGTGACTTCAGGAAAAATTCGGTTGTCCTGAAAATCTTTCGTTCACAATTCCTTACCTCAATCTTAATATGGCTCACATGGCCAAAATGGTTCCCGACACCTGCTTTGATAATCAAGGTCTGGATAGGTCATCACGTAGGCGCTATATTGGTTCATTTCTCCCTCACTCTTTCGAAATTGCTATTTCCAATTAATTTTTACGCAATACAAAGTATAACAGGAGTAGTAACGATTAACGAGTAACAGACTAAAAATTGACATACGATTTTCTCATTTACTAAGCCTCTACCTGCTCCATCTTGCGGCAGCTGGGCATGCAATAGATTGGAAGAGCAAGCTTGGCTAGGCCTGCAAATGACACGAAAGAGTGACGATTTATTTTACGCCTGCTCGTTATGAATTCCTTAGATTGATATAGCAAAGTGATGTTCCGACTGCAGGAAGACTCACCATGGTTTATGAACATTTCATAAGGGGCACAGAAACACAAGACATTATGTTGTACAGTATTCAGGACCGACCATAGCTATTTCGGCACCCAATGCAAAGAGACTCCCAACGCTCCCCCACCCAAACCACCCCCCCCCCTCTTTGAGGGGAGAGGAGTCAATCCCGAGCGTGGCATTTCTACTTTCTGAAGGAAAACTGAGGGTGGCTTCCATTATTGCTTCATTCATTCTGGAAGTTTTGGCGTCCATGGTGAATTTGTGCCCTGTGAGGGGCCACATGTGGCTCATATGACAAACGCCTAGGGTATTCATCCTCCTCGAAAAAAAAAAACGAACGCAACACAAGCACAGAAGAACTTATACTTTTTTTACGTTTTGCAAAATTTCCCAGTGCCTCTTCCCCTTAATAGGAATTACGTCATAATTTTTCAACCTGACCT